TTTGTTTCATAGTTATTTTATATGCTGCGTGTTATTATGTTGTGTATGATAAAGATAATTGGTTTGATTGTTTAGTTTGAATATTAACTGGCACTTGTTATAGTCATTTGGGAGCAAACTAGAGTTATGTAAAGTGCAATTGAGTACCTAACCTGTATGCATATACATTATATGTATGTACCTAATTTGTATTTTGTTTAACTATATGAATTCAACTAGCTGGTTATAGCTTAAAAATGTATGATTCAAATCACCCAATTTCAGCTTATGTTTCTGATTTTTTTTCAAATTGTTTACATAATAATCTATCTAATTGCCATCACTTAAATTAACTGTGATTTTCACCAATTGTTATAGTTGTTTAGCTAACAAATACTTGGATGTGTCTGTAAATTTTTAGAATTAATTAATTTTAAAACTTCTGTCTAGGTTCGCTTGAGTGAACTTGGTAAGGATGAGCCTGATACAAATGAATTTTCGAAAGATTATGCAGAGGTACATAATTTCCATTTTAAGTTATCTAACTTGTTTTTTGAATGTTAAATGCAGCTTAAAGTACATATGACATGCATGTAGTTACAGCAATCATTACAACTCTGAGTGAAACTTTGTCTCAAATATATGCAATCTGAAAGCTGACAATAACTGTCAATTTCGAAGTACAGTGTCTAAATCTTGGTGATTATGTCTCATGGTATATTGAGTTTTACAAGAAAATTGCTCCCTATCTTCATCAGTACTCTCATCAAAGCAGAGTACTTCATAAAATTAAATCTGCTAACTCTATGTTGTTTTCATTTGATAAAAATGTTGAGTTGGGCTTGCTTATTAATAGGAGCTGATCCATCTACAATACAAATCCTCATTTTTACTTGAACCAGCAAGTATAGTGGAACATAAAGTATGCAATACAATCTGCTTTAAAATATAATTCTGCTGCCCAACTTCATCTAAACTTGATCCTGTGTTCATTTGACGTAAATAAGACTTGTCTCAGGTCGACTCATGTGAAAAAAGATGCCTCTGAATACTACTATGAGAAATCAAAGTTAAATAAAGTATTTCCTAATATTTCCGAACAATCAAGACTAGCTGTGGTCACAATATGCACTTCAGGAGTACGATTTTGTCTACACAAAGCAGCTGCAAAACTGATAATGTTTGTAAATTTGTATAAAATTAGTGTTACAGTGTGTGAATATTTGCGACAATTTCGTTCTTGGTTCCGTTGTAACAACTACAAGACAAAAAAAATATGATCAAAATGTAATGGAAATTTTAAAGCGGGAGGGTTGTCACCTGCACATGCGCGGGAATCAAGTCCTAAGCGACGCTAAAAACGCAAAGGCTCATGGGTAGACGCTTGTTCGTGAACAATGACACGCTATGACCATCTGACGCATGCGCAGGTAACGACTCCCCCGCTTTAACTGATTATCATCTGTATGTTTTACATTCACAAATATGGATACTTTACAACAGGGCATGAAATGGGGTAAAATATATGGTTGTATAATGTAACATGTTTTAACTCTTTGTATATTATTTCAAATAGATTTCAAAGGAGTTTTCTATCGATAACCCAGTGTATGACTCTCGACCTGCTAGTGAGGACCCTGCAACACCTACATCAACAATGTCTCAAGCTTGAGTTGTAAAAGTTTTTATCTGAAAAAAAAAATATTTCTATCAAAGTCAAGTTTAATATAATGTTCAATTGATGTTTTATATGGGTGAAGGGTTATATGAAGGCTTAGTATGGTCTTTGTTCTTGTCTCTTTTCTGTCGGTGCAATAATTTGTTATTTTTAATCAATTTTTTGATTCCCTATTTTATGCTATTGAATGTATGGAATAATGTTATGCCAATATTTTATGTTACAAATAAATAATGATATATAGTAAAAAATATTTTTGTTATAGTATATACAATATTCACTTTATCTTGGATGTAATTCAAGTCTTCCCATCCTAAGTCCCCCAACACTGCAGGTCCTGCCACATTTCTATTTACTTTGGATACAAATTTCCCAAATTGGTACTGAATACTTTTTAATTTCTTTTAACCTCTCTGCTATCTTGAAATCTTATTCCACACTCATAATGCATTGATGGCATGATTATGCTATGCCTTAACAAATCGATTAAAACTGTTGTGTTGGTTAATTATTGATTTGCCATATGCTAAGATTGCCTTTTTTATAAACTTAAGTAAATTGTGTGTGGTCATTTAGTTTTTTTGATATAGTTATGCCTGAATAATTGTATTTTTTACTTCTTTTAATGTCAAGTTTCCTAGTTTCCAAATTTTGTCCTTTTTGTGGAGTTTTTTGCCATAATACATTATCTGTCATATGGATTGGTTATAACTAAGTTTCCATTTACTAGCAAACTGAGCTGCTATATCAAGCATACTTTGAAGTTCACTTGCATTATTAGTTATTAAAGCTACATCATCTGCCCAAAAAGCCCTGGTATTATTTGTGTTTCTACCCTCACCTCTAGGTTTGATTCAAATAACGTTTTTGCAAATTCATTTATATAAATTGAGAAGAGTAGGGGGCTCACATCCTTGTTTTACACCTCTACTGGTTTCGAAGTATTCAGTCTCAATATCATTAAAATTGATTATTTAATGGAGGAAATTTACCCTTGTAACAGGCTATTTTGGGTTCAAAATCAGGTATTTCTATCATTGCCGCTGCACCAAATGTACAGTAACATGACTATGAGTACCGTAATTCAACCTCGCATGCAAATTGTCAAGACTACCAAGAACACATTGCTAAGTCTACGAGTAAAATATTTTCTATTAATAAACTAGAGAGTTTACCCACACATGGCTGATGATATTTCCAGGGAAACAAGATTAACCTAGTTTTATATAAAGTGTATGATTTTGTTTTAAATGGCCAAAAAGCAGTCCTGTTTATTCTTGAAGTTTACTGTGAACCGTCTGTGTCGTTACACCTTTAGTACTTACTTCCAATGTTACAATCTTGGCCAATTCAGTTAACTCTAGTTCGGGCAAAAACAATGCAAATCGTGGAGACTCGTCTGATTCGCAAAGACTCATTTTGAAAAGTGTAGTCCATGCATGTACGACGTCATCGCTGGTCTACAATTCGAATGTGATATCTTCATAGAAAAATGGTTCACTTGCGAAATGACTGCATATTGTCCAATGACTATCACTGCACATAATTTCAAGACCCTCTTTTCTCAGCGCATGGCAGATTTCTAGCAACCACAGTCTCTGTGCCATACCCTATGCATTAACATAGAAACAATAAAAATTCAATCGTTGTACAACTTCATAGAACACAAAACAGGCGACTGTATCAACAGTTAGAACGATGTATGGTTCATCATGGTTTGTACCTGTGGATCCATAACTCGTCTTATGTCGGTCTTTAGTGATTGTGGTGGTATTTCAGTCATTTCTGATATATTTTGTGTCATTAAATTTGTTATTTTCAGATATTAGGATTTTTATCGACACATAAGAGCTATTTCTCCCATAGTCTTGCGTAACACGTACGTGCTGGCGTCGCAAATAAAAGTCGAGAAAAGTACACTATTCTCCTATCGATAGTATATTTATTAAACACCAGCGCGAAAACCATGACAACAATTATTTGTTTGAAGTTCTTCTTCTCAAGATTTAGCTCGCTGAACTGTACGTAACTCAAGTGACAGCAATTACTTTGCTAGATGACGGCATTGCATTAGAACTTTCCTCGGAAAGTGGAACAGCTAAATCGCCGTCTAAAATGGTCGTCTGCTACTATAGTATTTACAGGGGTGGTGAAACTGGGGGGGGGGTGATTGGCGTTAGCTTCGGTGGTGTGTTGCGAGAAAATATTCTGCTTTTATTGACTTTTATTTGCGAAGCCATTTGGCGTCACACTTTTGTGTCGTGAATTGTTAATTTAATGACGCGTCGAGGATAATAACCCAAATCTCACAAATTTGGTCGAGAAATTACATGGTTAGACTACTGAATTGGTTTGTTTACTAACGGTTGGCGGGCGATACGTTCAATTACTTGCGATATTCGTGCCTGAGCGCCAATAAATGATATCAAGATTGTAACACCTCTTTGTACAAATACAGGGACGGGGCGCTAGTGTAATTGTTATCTAAAAAACATATATCTCGTTAACAATCTTTCTTGAATCAGCCAGAGCGTGCATTTAGCCACAGTTCCTTGAGGGACTGCGTTTTAGCTAACGTATAGTTTGAAAATGTTGCTGAGTCGCTCACTTTAACTACTGTAGAATACTTTATTTTCGCCTGCAACTAATTTTCGCTGAAGGAATAATTCAGTTAAAATAAAATCCAGCGAATATACCTTTTTTTCTTATATTATACATTCAACTCGTCAACAATCAGTGAGAATAAATGCCATGCAAAACACACATAAAGTCGTTTGAGCGAAAATTAATTCCAGCTAAAATTCAGTGTGATAAAATTAAAATAAGCTGTAGCATCGGAGCTATTTGTCTTGTTGAACAACCACCTGGATGTGGCAAACAACGTGTTTTGTTATGACAAACATTAAAACAACCCCAGGGAGAAAGTGTACAGCGTCAAGGGGTTGTCAAGGCTGAAATGATATTGAACAAACATATCAATCAAACGATGGAACGTTATCGACAGTGAGCACATAGCAAAAAATATAACCTATTTTTCTATTTTGATGTAGATACCATATCTGCGTGGTTGAATTATTCAGGGATTTATAAATTTTGAATATAAAGTAAAAAGTATCTGCAATAAAATATATAATATATGATTTTAATACACTGAACACAAATCATTAATTGTACAATTCAGGCGGCGTTTATGTTTGTTCAACTTTCCATAGAGCACTGCAAACAACCGCCCCTTTCTTCGTGATTTATAACATCGACGCGTAACTTTCATACATTTCTTTATTTAAAGATTTAATGTAAAGAGTCAAAGCATTGGCATTACAAGACTACTGCGTGCTTAGCCATGAAGTCGTGTTTGATGCCAATATTTCTCTTTTATGTCCTCCAGTCGGGTAGGTACTATTTTACTTACTTTTGGCTCGTGTTATTTTTTACGGTAGGACAGTTCTAAAACTGTTAAAGTGTTGTGGCTCTGGGTACTGGGATTTATTGTGAAATGGTGTATGAACTCATGTGATTCCTAGTATATGAATACACGAATGCGCATTCATCGACCACTAGTTATTCTTACTAGTATACTATTGATTTTTGAGGACAATTGCGTCAGTTTTTAAGTCATCATCACAGTAAAGCATCTTTGGTATAACATGCTAAAAAGAGGTGTTTTATACCAGCTTTAATCTTATTATACAACCCCAAATCATATTTGATGTTGGTGCGAGGGTATTAAGGCATAAAATACGGGCGGCATGTGGCCTAGGTGTCTGGACAAAAACTCTCTGTGTCATAATCAATTAGACAGTCGGTTTAATAAATTTAGTATATGCCCTACAGGCTTGGTAATTGTACTGTATACATGCATCGGTAATTTCTAGGAACGAAGCAGGCGAATCTAATCTGTGGTTTTGTTTCCCAAATCTCATTTGGATCTCTATATTTTTAGAATATACTCACTAAATTTAAGTATCTCGACGAATACCACCTCCTCAGTGTATGATGTGAAATTTGCGGTTTTAGCTTCTTTGTAGCACTTCCCAAGATAGCAGCGTATGTCTTTTTTGTTTCAATCATCCGAACTCCATGGTCACATGTTACTGTGTTAACTACACGTGCACTGAAAATACATCAAAGACTGTGGGTAGAACCACTTTTCGCCAATAATTATTTATCACCGAATTGTGTTTACTTAAAATGATAGCATTGGACAGTTTGATAAATGTACATTGGAGTACTTGACAAAATAAACAATATTAAGTGTTTGTTTGCTTTTTTTATTTATCAATTGGCACGATCACACTTATGTCACCGTTATCTTCAGACATGCGCCTCCACAATAATATATCTGATGTACATTTATAACACAACGACAGATTCTAGTCTATCACCGTCGTTTCGAATAAGAAAGCTACATTTACGATGATTGTTATGACTACTGTAATATTCAAAATGAGACTTGCGCATGTTGATCTGTAAGCCAAGGTTCATTAGGGGTGGACCATTAGAATTAGGGATTTCCTTCACTTAGTTTAATGGTATTCATTTCAATGATGAATTCGCTTTATTTTCTTTGATATTTCCTCTGTGTGTAATATTTCCCCCTATATATGGGCATGCATAATTATATTTCTGTTATTAATCCAGGCAGGATTTCTTTTTCATGAATTTATCCTGTGCATTTACTTTTCAATTTTGCCATGCCTTAGAGTTTATAATGGTAAACCCCTTACACTCTATCTTGAGCAGTCTTTGACGAATGATTAGTGGTTTAGTGAGTTACACACTTGATTAATGTGACGAGGCGTCTTACCGATGTCAACAATTCGAATCCTGTCATATGTGTCAAGATGCAACTGTAATTACATTGTGTGTTTCGTTTTAAGGCATTCATGGTCAAGATTGCACGTTTGAAAATAATTTATGTGGATGGACTAATGCCAATAATGATGACATTGACTGGATTCGGCAAAAAAGTAACACTGGGACGAAACATACTGGGCCAAATGGAGATCACACGATCGGAGGTTTGTGACAGTTCCGTCTTGTTCACTTTTAAGCGTTTACTGGTGAGGTCATGGCGCTACTGTTTTACAGTGTTACTGTATCATATGAAAGAGATTTGGTGTTTTGCTACGGTGGAGTCAGTGAACTCGAGTTTAATTTAAAATATTTAAATTTGTACGTATCAATTTCTTTTAAATTAGTCCAATTCAAACCAGACGATTGGATTGGCTAGACTTGTATCACAGATCCCATCTCCGCTATGTCTAATGTAACAGCTCAGACCACTTTAGTGGTAGCAGTAATAACCCACAAATCCATATAGTGTTAAGCTGGTGGTGTTCGAATTTTATGTATTAAATAAACAATGTATTCTATACGCGTTGTATATAGTACGTCGCTATGAGTCCCATATGGAACAAGACGCGGCGCATATATTTTTTAAGTATTTGGGTTTGAAAATTTATAACGTACATGGCTTTAATTTGTTGACTCCAGTTCAATTCTATATTTCTCTATATGTGTGTATGTTTATACTGTGTTCAAATGTTGACATGTGAATATATATATATTTATTGAGTATTTCGTTTTAACACTTCAGTTAATGGACACTTCGTGTATATTGAGAATACATTTGTTGGTGATCTAGGCGACAAAGCTCGATTGATTAGTCCCGGTATTAGTTTCACTGACGATAATCGACAATGTCTAACATTCTGGTAAGTTTTTTTGTCCATAGCTGTGTGTAATATTGTCGGAGTTATTGTTATTGAAGATAATTATTATACCTATTCATTGCGAGTAACGCGGTGTGACCAGTTTCTAAAAGCCCCCGCAATGAAGAATTTATATTTTAAAGTAATGAATATAATGTCTCAACCATGTTTAAGTCATGGTTGTGACAATTCACGACGAACTGATTGAATACACCACTTTTTGTCAGATTATAATGTCAGTTCACAAGAAAAGTAATACCCAGTACTTGAGAGTTGAGTCCGTATTTCAGGTACCACATGTATGGCGCACACATACAAACATTGAATGTTTACCTGGCTGATCGTGAAGGACTAGGTGCTGCCATATGGCGCAGACGCGGTTTGCAGGGAAACGATTGGAATAAAGCACAGATTACATTAGGTGCGTCTGGTATTGGTGCAAAGAATGTCGTATTTGAGGCAGTTCATGGCATTATACAGGGAGACATATCATTGGATGATATCACCCTTGTAGATGGAGACTGTATTCCAGGTAAACGTGCGATACGTAACTTATGATCGTCTACTTATACATGCCAGAATGTCACTGTTTCATATGTGAGTCATTCATTCGTTTTAAAAGCTGTGTATTCTACCGGTAGATTATTGTGACTTTGAAGACGGCACTGCATTGTGTGGAGGAATACAGGATCGGACGGATACATTCGACTTCTTACTTTCAACTGGCACTTTAGGTTCTGCCTCCGATCATACACTTGGAACTTCATTCGGTGAGTAAATTTCAGAAACAAATCACGGTCATATATGTCGCCAGACCTGTTCTTTCAACTTCGTTATTCGTTCATTTGTAACTAACCATAAAGAGAACACAGTATGTTGGCGAAGCTCACCGACAGATGAGAGAATATGAGAATTCACAATCGCACCAATGTGTGAGAATGTGTGTTTTATTATACATCACAGAACTGAACTTTGAATGCACATTTTTGAAAGTGATCAATTAACGTAGAATCCTCGCAAACCTTTTCTGTACTTTGTTCTGTGTATCATGTGGCCGCCGGTATTCTGTATTTCTTTACTGATTAAAGCAATTATATTTCTATTGCATACTCAGGGCATTTGCTAATGATATCAACAGCAACCGATAACAGATATGGAACAGCTCGTTTCATCACATCTACATTCTTCGCTAATTCCACAAAATGTCTGCAGTTTTATCACACTAAAAGTGGGGACCAGAATATTGGTGCGTTAAGGGTATATGCTCAGATTGGTAGTAACCGTGGTCCCGTACTCTGGTCTAAGAGTGTAAGCTTTGAATACGGATGGTACGAAGAGCGAGTGACAATTGAGACTGTGGAAGATTTCCAAATTGTATTTGAAGTAGCTCGCAATAATGGTAACTCTGGATACCTTGGAATTGACGATGTCTTCGTTTTTGACGGAGTTTGCTCCTCTGTAGGTACGATAAATGCACATACATATGTGATGATAAATGATTCCATCTTTGCAGTATGTTGTACAATGTATTTGTCATAACAATCATTGTTTCTTTCTCTTAATAAGGCAATATATACTGATAATCCAAGATATACAATCTTATACATTATTCATATTTCTGTCGTAGGTGATTTGCCAGGTTCTTGTGATTTTGAAAAAGGACTTTGTTCCTGGAAAAACACATTTGGAGATTCGATGGACTGGGTTGAAAACAAAGGTAGAACTGGCACTGGAGGCACGGGTCCATCTACCGACCATACTCTTGGAACTGAATATGGTATGAAATACGATATTGATTTTCATTAACCATATATGGTACACCTTGATCACCGCCTTTTGGTGTGAATATATTAAGTTATGGATCGATGTAATTGAATAGCACTGTTAGTGTATCATCTATGACGTATGTGATGTTTTAATTCATGTTGCAGGCACGTATTTGTATTTTGAAGCTTCAAACATTGTAACAGGTACAACCGGTGCTGTATACAGTGAACCATATGAAGCCAACGTTGGTGAGAGTCGCTGCATGACGTTTTGGTATCACATGTACGGGAAGAGTGTTGGGAAATTGACAATACAACAACTGCTGGCAAATGGAGACGTAATCGATCTATGGACCATGAGTGGTAATCAAGGTACATTGTGGATTCCTGCACGAGTTGGATACTCTCAGACACAAGATTATATGGTAAAGGTTTCCATCCTTTCAGTTGTAATGATATTAGGTGTATGTATGATCTAGGTCTGTGATATGATTCATTCCCCATGCATAAACTAACTACAACCGTGGGGCAATATATAAATACGTTTTATCGAAGATACGTAATGCATATACAACTAGAGTAATATACCATGTATATGTGTGTACATTGTTAGCATCATGCCAGTTTATAATATTAAATGCGAATATCTAGTGGGCAAATGTACATATTAATAATAAAGAAATCAATAGAATGTAATTGAACCGATTTCCAAAATTGAGTGATGTTCACTACTGTTTAAATTTCTAATAGATGCCGACATAGAAAGTTAGGCAGTAAATTTGACATAGTATTTACCATGCGATTTATTCGGTGTTATTTACCTTGACTATTACAAAACATTTGTAATTGTATGTTAACGTACAGAAATGTGCACCCTTTGTCCCCCACTTCTTTGACCTTTTTTTCAGTCAGGCCAGACATAGGCCTCAATGACGCCTACACACAGAGTACCCTTAGGTGGCGCCCTCACTCAAGTATCACGTCGTCCTTGCCATGATGTTGGTCAAAGGCGACCAATATCATGGAATAGACGGCTGAGACGTTTGCACGCTGATGCTTTCGACCCCCTACTTTTCTCGCATATCAGTCTCTTGTGTCATTTCTAGTGCGTTAATTACAATTTAAATTGCTGAATAAATAATTATTTAAGCAATTAATTAATCTTTCCTCAATAACTATTCCCACTATCTCACTAGCAATTGCATCGCTTTACCAAACTTTAAGCATTATACGAATATGATAGTAAAACAGCAATTATATGGACGCACCTTTAGTTTACATGTAGTGGCACAATATTACTAAAAGCGATACACACGCTAAATGCTATGTGTGTTGTTTGGATTTCAGTTGAGTTTTAATGCAACACGTGGCGATGGTGGTCCATCCGGTGACATATGTATTGACGATATAGCAATAACTACTGGATACTGTTCATGTGAGTAAACATTTTTCGTGATTTGCATATTGATCAAGGTTTACAGTTTCACAACGGTGTTTTGATATTGCCTATACGAACACTGCCACAAGCTTATTTTAAGCAGATGACTGTGTGGAACTACATGGGGGAAACAGGAAAACATGACTTGTTGAATTGGAAAATTGTTTGAAACCCGAAATAATGCAAAATTGTGTCGAGAAAAATTAAAAACTACTTTTTTGTAAATACATTGCAGTTTGCCCAATACTAATCCAAGGAATGTAAAAACTACCCACCCTCTTCGAACCCACCCACGTTTGTCAAACTGAATGTTGATATACATTATTGTGTGCTAATGTTTATGCGAGAAAGGCTGTTCGCGTGAATGTGTGAGTTGCTGTAATACGGTCGTCCATTCATTATGAATTCATAATTATGTTGTCAGGTAGGTCACCTCCAAGTGTGTTGATCCATCTTATCCAGTTGTATTCAATCATTATATTTGTATGTGATTCACAGCTTCCTATAGTATATTCGATTGTGATTTCGAGGGTGATTTTTGTGGATGGAATCAGACAACGGATGATGAATTGGAATGGATCAGAAATCAAGGTGACACAGGATCTCCCCATACTGGTCCTTACGAAGACCACACTAAGGGAGGTAACTATCCCTCATTAGCTCGATGGATAATTCATTGGTAGATTCAGAACAATAATTATATGTCGGCTCTGTTGGATAATAGTGCATAGCAACAGATAACACATTTAAATCTTTACACTTTGGATATTTTCTGCCTACTAGTATTCATTTCACCGTTATGTTTCACAAGTGTTTTGCTATTGTATGTTTTTTTTCTTATTTACCCCATCTGTTTATTATCGGGTTGTAATGTTGGAATCACGGTCAGCAAATGTTTTATCTATTTATAGCGTATGGATGGTACCTTTACATCGACAATATTGCTCAGCAAACTTTCGGAGACGCTGCACGACTACGAAGTCCATCTGTTACGTTTGAAGAAAATCAACCAAAATGTCTTACATTCTGGTGGGTATCAATAGTTACGTTTCACACGTCTAAAAACGCCGATATTAACACCGTTTTTGTGTGTGTGCAAATATTAGATAATTAGATATTTATGCCACACTTGACGCTATTTGTGTTTGCTCAACTATTCAGTTTTCTGTTTTGTTTCACCCAGGTATCACGTGTACGGAGCCCATGTTGGTTCATTGAGTGTTTATTTAGAAGCAACACAAGGACTTAATCCAATATGGACAAGACGAACAACTCTGGGTGACCGATGGAACCAAGCCAAAGTAAATCTGTTACTTACATCTGACGACACACGTAGCGTTGTCTTAGAAGCGACACAGGGGTATAGAATCCATGGTGACATTGCTATTGATGATATTAGCTTAGAAAGTGGATTTTGCAAGCGAGGTATTTACATAAAATAATATTTCACAATTGAAATGTGTTTTCATTTTCTAGTCCACAGATCTAACAGATATTTGTCATATTTAAAAAATTTCAGATTATTTTGGTTGCGATTTTGAGGATAATACACTGTGTGGTGGTTCATTTGAAAGTACAGGGAAATTCAACTGGACTTTGACAGCGGCCGATGATACTACTGGACCATCCTACGACTACACGTATATGACTATGTCAGGTGTGATTACATTTGAAAGTCTTCGGGCCATATATATATACAGTTCATTTTTCATTGACCAATGCCACTTTAATTGCACATTGTTATCTTTAAAGGTGGATGATGAACATTACTAGTAAAAAAATCAGTCATCTATTTTTCGTTTTAGGTCACTACCTACTATTAAAAACATCCCTTGCTAACCAGGGACAGTTAGCTATATATTATACAGCTACCACATCGACCACATCCAACAGATGTCTACAGTTCTACTATGCCGGCAGTAACGATGACTCGGCTTTGTTGAGCGTTCTAACTAAGGTCAATGGACATACAAGTCACCCGATATGGACACGCTACCTTCAGATTGGCGATGGGTGGCAAACTGGTCAAGTGTCTATTAAACAACAGAGGAATTTTAAGATAATATTTATAGTACATATGCTTGGGAATGCAGCCAGTGATGCTTATGTTGCATTGGACGATATACAACTATTGGATACTGACTGTCCGAGTCCAGGTGAGTGCAGTACGTTTTCATTTTGCAGTTCAACACATTCTGCGTCAATCGAAATTCGTTTCAAAACTATGACGCAATTAGACACGTTCGTAAGATTCAAACCTAACATATTGTGTGTTTTTGATATGGTGACGTCAAGCATATTATGTAATTATAACTATTAATTATTCATCAGCTAATTGCATTTTTGAATTTGGTAAATGTACCTGGAGAAATAGCATTGTTGGAGACCAGTTAGATTGGACACTGCATAAAGGTGGCACCGGAACTGGCGGCACTGGGCCACAGAATGACCATACCGTGGGTACGGGTGAAGGTAATGCGTTTCTGATACATCAATTTCGCTAAATACATACATAAGTGAAATTAGAATTGGATGTATTTTGAGTTCGACTTTTAATAATATACATCCACAGGTTTGTATGGGGATATTGATATTATACAATGAATCAATAAAAAAAGGAAACATTCTTTTCATTCATTAATTTTACTCAGAATTTAGTTTGACGCTCACATGCTTTTATTCAAATTTCTTCATGTGACATGAGTTTTTCGTTACCTACACTAGTTAAAGTTGTATTTTTATTTGTACATAGGAACTTATTTGTATTTAGAAGGTTCTAACACAAATGAAGGAACTTACGGTGCATTCTATAGTGAACCGCTACCTGGAGCCTCGAATTACAGATGTTTTGAGTTTTGGTATCACATGACCGGAAAACACATTGGTACATTTCAAGTAGCCATATTGAGCAAAGGCGATCTATCACCATCTACTATATGGACTTTGAGTGGTGACCAAGGAGACAGTTGGTTATATGGCAGAATACCATTCAAACAACTAGACGAATCACAGGTATATATATAGTACAATTTTAGGTTGAAATAAATTCATGCCTACTTGAAAATAATATATAATGGTTAATATCATCAGGATGACCATACATGAAGTGTTTCGAAAAACACGAATGTCATGAAATAAATTTAACTTTTGCATTTCACACTTATTTTGATGAAATTATTTCTTCATGTCTTCCAATTGTGTTCGGTAAAGTGAGATAAAACAAGTTATAATATTACTGAAATCCATCCTAATATTATACAATGGGAGATTCTTTCCCATAATCCATTGCATATATAACAGTGATCGATAACGTGTTCAGTTATATGTCATTTGAATCCCGATTGAACTGGTTTAATGTGGAGACATGTATTCACTGAAATCAGGGTGTAAATAACAGTTTAGAGTTTGATTTTGCCGTTTATACAGAACCGTTGGCAATAACATAACAGCTCTAAATATTAACATTCGAAAATTAGACATCGTGCCCAAACTTGGTACTGCGATGAATGGCATCACTTTTCAGTTTTTGATAGACCAATAATAACAGGATTAGTTGAAATCACGTTTTTGTAGATTGGAAATATTAATCAAACTAATTTCATCTAAATTATATGTTTTCACCAAATAAGTGAGATTAATCACCATTCTCACAAAATGACTTCATTGTTTACAGTTGGTATTAATTGGCATACGTGGTACAGGATCTAACAGTGATACAGCTGTTGACGATTTGGTTATCAGCGATGGTTTATGTACAGGTACAAGTACTATAACTGAATGTCTTTTTCGGAATTTTGGAACTGTTCTTGGGGTATGTCAAGCGAATGATGGTATAACCAAAGTAGTGGTAACTTTATATTATCAATGTTTAATAGAGTAAAAATATCATTTATTTGTAATATTTTAGGCTTACCACCTGAAGCTGCTGTAAATCCTCCAACGTCAGGTCAGTTTTATGAAATTATACCTATTTAACCCTTCGATCGTCATAGTTTTTTGCTATGCTTTTGGAACACATCTGTGTATGTTTATAAGTCGAAATGGGACACGTGATTATGGACGTTCCATGCGTAAAGATAACATTCCCTATACTCCAGTTAATATTCAGTGTTGTAACCAACTCTCAATATATGTTGTTTTTCACAGCCCCGACACCACCAACTTCAAACCCATGCGGTTCCGGTAGAATTAACTGCACTGACGGTACATGTATAGATATAACGCAGTATTGTGATTTTACACCACAATGTCCGGACTCTTCAGACGAAGAACTATGTCGTAAGTAGACTTACATGCGAAATAATATGACTCTATGACCTTGGACTGATGTTTCTGAGGCATGACAGTGATGCGGTGTATCCTGCTGCCGTGTAAGCAAATGAAATACATCAATGATATACCCATCACTCGTGGCAATATCGCCCATACTAATACTCACCAAATACCAGGGCGAGGCCATGGCGCCCTGTCATATTTTTCCATAGCTCTTGATAATTTTATTTGTGAAAACAATAAAATGATTTGTGTGGTTTTATTATTCAAATATGCAAAACCATAACATATAAAACAATATAAATGAAGTGTCAGAACGCACCGTGGCAATTCATATTGCGTATGTTCAAACAACTCACCTTTAAAAGGGACTATTTTATCTCATTTGCATATTTTCCAGTCAATACCAATATTATTGATCAAGCTTGTATTAATGAAATATTTATGAATCACCGAATTTATGAATTTTGAATATAGTATGAACAATTAGTGATGATGACAGTCTACTTTGACCTTGATAAGTCATGTTTACAAATATAACATACTATTTGTTTTCATTGTAGCTAAATCATGTAACTTTGAAGCTGACGAATGTGGTTGGTATGAAGGGACGCCGAAAGATAATTTCAACTGGCACAGAGCACGTGCGTATGATACGCGACATACACCTGACCTGGCGCCTCAATATGATCACACAAATAATGGCGCCCACGGTAAGTTCGTCTAATAATTTGGCCTAAGGAGTCGCCGTTCATAGAGTTGAAGTTATTGTGATCAGTGGACGTCACTTTGAGCAAAAAATAATGCTTTTACTAATTCATTGTTAATTTTATGCTCAAAGTGACGTCAACTGATCACAATAATTTCAACTCTACGAACTACGTCCTCTCGCGCCCAATTACGTTACAAGTGCACCATGTGAACGGTATATCGATATACTGTAGTGATATCTGTTTTGACAATTTGCCATATGTTTCATTCATAGGCTACTTCACGTACATAGCACCAGTTGGAACGAATTCGTACGATACAGCTGAATACATGAGTCCACAATTTGCATCTGCTGCTCCTGGATGTACACTTGATTTTTGGCTGTACATGAATGGTATTAATCCGAATAGAATTGAAATATACATTGTAC